GGGTATAGGAGTGCCAAGCCCAAAAGTCAAGTCTCAGGAGTATAATGTTCAAGAAAAGGAAGTTTTGTATGAATCCCGACGTTAAATATTCCATGAGGGTAATGACCCACAGGACCATAAAGCACGACCGTGGAACCTCATACCGCTCCTTATAGCATTACCCAGGTTGAACCCCTGCAGGAGTTGTCTTGGTTTATTATTCGAGTAGACCTCCTGACAGCTACTGTCTCCAATCAGAAGTTTTTGAAGTTGGGAGCTTTCTTTGATGAGACCCAGTATTGTGCTTCTAATTCAGACGCGTAGTTCTGAACTGTCAAGGCATTGATTCCCAGAGTAATTTCAGACATTTTTCTTTCTTCTGTTAAGCATCAAAATACAGTGCACTGTATTTTGGAGCACTGACAGTCTTTGGGTAGAGAAGTCTTGTCTCCTGTATTGAGATCAGTTAGGTGGTCATCAAAACATGCATTCACCATAATGCTATATATGGGTCATCCAGTCTTTATCCGATGCCTTTTTTGGAGGGCTGGGAGTGGGGAGCAGAAATCTTCTCCACACCTTAATGCCCCGGGGAATATGGAGGACATGTAATATACTTGCTTTGGGATGTTCATATTTAAAGGATGATCCTGCTTTCAGCCCCGGAGGCAAACTGCTGTGAAGATCCCAGTGTAAGGGATTTGTGGACCTTACACAAGGAAGGATAGGACAATTCATCTGTACTGACCTGAAAACTTCCTTTCTGTGAGTAATAAGGTCCACAGATCAGGCCCACCCTGGGACAAATGGATCAACCAAAGTAGAGAGAGAAACCGACAAACAAAGATTCAGGTTTGTCTCATAGGGGGAATTCTCCATTCTCTGCAATAAGAGAAATCGTTGTGCTTTTTCCTGAAGGTCTGTCGTTCAGGACAGTAGAATTGAATTCTCCTGGCTTTGGAAGCTCTCTCAACTGGAGGGAATGTCAGAGGGCAGGGCATTGCCCTGCTTGCCAGGGACTGACAGGTCTGGTTCTGCGCCACGCTGTATGCAGGCTGAAGTACCTATTGTAACCACTCCTAGGAGCAGGTAGGCCCAATGGTTTGAATAAAGACCTTAGATCCAAATGGCTCCTTGGTTCTTTGGTAATTCTGGCTGAGCCATTGACTCAGCGTGTGACCTTGATAATCCACTTGATCTTGTGCCTTTTTTAACCCAGCTGGAAAACTTGGTGAAGGAACCTCCCTAATAAAACCAGTAGTTGCTTTTGAGCCGTTTGTTTCCCAGGGAAAGAAATCACATGATACAATAACTTTTATTTTGGATGGCATCAGTGCATGATCTCCACACCCTCTGCAGAGTTGAGTGGCAGAGAGAGATGAAGAGATCTGGGCAAGGGAGAAAAAGAGATGGTTTTTTTATTGTATTCCTTAGCTTTGCTTAAAGCACCTCTGGAAATGTCTAGATATTTGCATATTTGTATAAAAATAGTTTGACCTTTTAAGGAATTGGACAGAGAGTTCCAGGCACTAGGAGCTGCAGTGGAAAAGGCTCTTGTCTGATTAGAGGCGTATCATGTGACAGGGCAGAGATGATACATGAATGAGGAGAGGAGAACAAAGAATGAGGCAGGATGCAGGATGTGCTGGGGGAAGGCCACCAAGAGCTTGAAAACAAGCAGAATTCTATTCTGTTTAGGGGCTTTATCTGGCCCCCGACACCCTAGTGTCCGAGTGCCTCCCGATCACTAATGGATTTGATCTTCACAGCCCCTCTGGGAGGCCAGGGACTGCTATCCCTGTTTTGAGGACAGGAAGCTGAGGCACAGGGTGGCATAAGGGACTTGCTTAATGTCACTCAGGAAGTCTGTGGCTGAACTGGGAATTGAACCAGGTCTTCCAGCGCCTGGACCTAGATCTGCTTTGCTTTGCTTTTTAAATGAGATCTGAGCCCAGTGGCATTGCTTTGAGCCTGAGGGGCAGGAATCCCATTTCTTTGTGTCTCAGGAGAGTGGGCAGAAGCATCCTGGGAGATCTGAAGAGCTGGAGCTCGGGGAGGCTGAAGGCAGAGAAGAGGAGGACAGGGCTGGGGACTTCTTTCCAAATCATCATTCGTCTGACTCTTGAAGAAGAATGTAAAACAAAGGCCATGAAAACCTCCTATGCTGTGCTACTGCTAGCAGAGGGCACACCTAGCTGTGGACTCCTGGGAACAGATTGCTTGTGGGCAAGATAGAGAAGAACCTTGTCTGAACCCTTTGATACACATTGTTATTGGTTTCTCTTGGTCTTAGTCCAAGGATAGCATCTCCTGCTGGCTGTGGGGGGAGAAGCAGCCTGCACAGATGCAGACTTCCTCTTGGGCACTGACCAGTTGAACCAGTTCTTTCACACTCTCCAGGAACTAGCGGTGTTTCCAAAATAAGCAATGCAAAGAAATTCCGTCTGGAGTCCGTCATTCTCTAGTTTGCTGAGGCAGCTCTCAAGTGGAGGGGCTCTGATAAGGTGAGAGGATTACCTGCTTCACAGTCCTTGACCAAGGCTCATCTCCATGCCACCCACGGTGGATTCTGTCACATGAGCAAAAGCGGATGTATTCCTAATGCGGGGCAGTCAGTGAGAGATCTCAGAGCCCTCTCAGTTAATCTGGCTTTCGCTTAACTGTGACCACAGCCTTATAATCTCCTTGGGTTTGTTTTACCGCTTTACCTGAGGATTTAGAATGATAAACATTCAGAGATGGGAAAAGATTTTTGGATCATCTGATCCTTGCTACAGGGACCAGTGCAAGACTCTTCCTTACTCTGATGACATCTAGTGTTTTGTCGAGGCTAGTGTGAAATGTTTCCAAAGGTGAACTGCAGAGCAACAGACGTGCTGATTTCCTTCTCTGCTGGGGGGGGCTGGAGCCTAATCAGTTAAGTAAGTCTAACTTGGGCTCTTTGACACACTGTATTTTCCTTTTTTGCCCACTCTGGGTCTGAGATTGGTGGTAATTCAGTCTCCTTGGGAAATAGATCTTGTCTTTAACTGTTGGTTTTACCTTCCTCTGCCCATCACTGACCTTTACTTTTAAAACCTGACCTCACCCTATCTCCACCCCACTCAGTTTGGTGACTAAGGCATAGTCTATCTTAAAACCATAACCAGGGCGGGGGTCTACTTACAACATGGCTGTCCCCTGACTCAGCTAAAAATGGTCAAAAACTGTACTGTAGATTGGCGCTTACCTGTGTCCCTGTAACTGGTGAAAGCCTTGGGCAGTCCAGCATCTTCACTCAATTACAGGCACACAGCCGAGGTCCTGCCCATACTGTAGCTTTAACCATTTACTATCAGCTCCTGTGTCTCCGTTATTAGTTGTAGCACAGATTGTATCTCCCAGTGCTCCAACATTCCTGGCTAGACAAAAGAGGCAGCAGTAGAGGGTCTAGCACGATCTGTGCAAAGAAAACCTGCCATGTCCCTAACACCCCAGTGATGAGAGAGACAAGGGAGAGGACGGGTGATATGTTTTATTGGACCAACTTCACTTGGTGAGAGAGACAACCTCACCCATTGTTTCTCTAATCTCCTGGGGCCAAGACAACAACACCCCGTAGTACTCCAGGGATCGACATTTTAGATCTCCAACTCCTGGTCCTATAAAAGGCTGTCGAACAAGGCTTATGGAAATACTCCCATATCTGGCTGCTCTGGGTCTTCTACACAGTGATGTGGCTTGTGAGTGTGCGGGTCCCAGCATACGAAGCTTCCCCTTAAATCACCCTTCACTCGAGAAGGAGCAGATACAATCTACAGCCCATTTTAAAATCAAGCCACGGTACCTGGATCGAAGTGCCTGTGGCAGTGAATTCCACAGGTTAATATCACACTGCATAGGGCAGAGTTCCAGTCTTAATGTTGATAATTTTGACAGATCGTATTGATATTTACTTTTAAGCAATTTTTCTATTTTTATCCATTTAAATTTTCATTGTTGCACAAAATGATGGGTTTTAAGCATTTTTTATTTGTATTGATTTAAATTTGTGGGACGTTTATGGAGAGCTCAGACAATTATTTCATGACAACAGAGATTGAGATTCAAAAAGTTAAAGCTTTATAACTGTTAAAACTCAAATTGTCCAACATCACATGTCAAAATATACAAATTAAATAGCCTTCCACCAAACCCCAGCAAGTTCTCAAGTAGCGTTTTTCTTAATTTGCCTCTCTGTAAATTTCAGTTATTATCGTTGGAAATATTTGACGACTTGTGTGTGTTCAGTGAAATCAACTTTTACTGATAAAAATCGAAGCCTTTCCATTTCCTTTCATTCCTTTAGTTTCCTTTTCAACGTCCTGTCCTTTAATATTAAGGTGTCTCTGTGTTCTCTTGCTAGTAGACGGCTGTGAGAAGGAAGAGGGACTGTCCAATTTGATGATGTCCTTGCAAAAGCTGAATACCTCAGTCAAGCCCCCCTCTTTCCTTTCTTCTTTCTAACCCAAGTAACACTCCTCTTTGCATTCTCTCATTACATTTAAATTCCCCCCCCCCTTGACCCCTAATCACCCTCGATTTCTTTCTCTGCAGTTCTTCAGTCTCTGCTCTCTCTTTCTTGAGGTCAGGCCATCAGAACTCAATTCTCTTTCAGTCCAGGGCACCTGCTGGCATGCAGGGGACCACCCAGTCTTTTAGGGGTGAGTTCTGTTTCTAGGTTGCCCTGAAGCAGACATAAGAGCTGTGTGTGCAGTGCAAGACACGTTTCTGTTACAAGGGGAGGTTCTTGCCCCTGTGCTCTTCAGGACTGAGGGGGGATTTTCAAATGCACATGGCAGCTAGGCACATAACTCCCACTGAAAGTCAAGGAGAGTTAGGCACCTGACTTCCATTTGTGCCTCTGAAAATGTTTGGCTGTGTCCTCTCTCTGCCTTGATTACACCTACCAGCAATCCCTCTGCATCCCCCTGCCCCAGTGACCCTTGTAGCTTCAGGTGAGCGTGTGGAGACCCCTGTCTAAAAGCTCTTTGTTTTTACAGTTCGCCAGTTCCTTCAGCGTGGCATCAGCCCCAATTTGTACAATGAAGATGGCCTCACTGCATTGCACCAGGTAAGCAGCCTTCCCAGTTCCCCGTCGGCAAGAGCCCTTTTCAGCTACCGAGCCTTCCCCGCAGTCCGTTCTTCTGCCACGCTCACTTTTCAGTGTCCAGTCCCCGCACTTCTCCTGTTCAGTACTCGTCTTGCATCCCCCAGGTGCTCTCCGGGCTCCTAACTTACCTTCACTTCCTCCAGCCGCATTGGGTTGGGAGGCTGTGACATCACCAAGGCAGTGCCTAGCCAGTCCTGTGCTAGTAACTGAGGCAGAAATCTGTCCTGACCCCCCTTCTTCCTCTGTCTCCACCTTCTAGCTAAATGTGTCCCTCCTCACCTGAGTCCGGGACACTGCTCCCCAATCCCTTACTGTGTGGAGTAGCTGCACCAACTATCAGACATCAGCTTTGCAGGAGGGAAGGGCCGAGAAACAGGATCAGTATTTTTCTTGGTCAGGACGGCTTTAAACTGAGTTGAAGCTGCAGGTTCTAGTCGTGACTCTGGAGGCACCACCTGGTGGTTCCAGAGGGATCATTCCTATTTTCTTATCCCCCAAAGCCCCAACCCCTTGGATCCTTGAAATAAGAGATGCTGGTGCCACAGGCGACGACATCGCTCACTGCAGCTGTAACTGCTTCTGATGGCCTAGAGCTGGGCTCTCGAGACTTGGAAGAAAAGGCAGACGGTGGGCCAGAGTTTTCTCATGTCTTGGGCTGGAAACACTAGTGAGAGAGGGACCGAGTGTCAACTGGAAGCCAGAAGGTGGTGCTTTAGCAACCACAGACATGAGAGCAGCTTGAAAAGAAGGTAGATTTTTCTTTCCCAACGAACATATCGTAGAAATTAGGGCCTGAGTTTATCACTCACAATGGTTCCTGCACTTCAGAGCATTTACAGTCTCTCTCAGTGATGATGTTAAAATGTCTGGCTCTTCTCCAGCACCATCCAGGGCTTCTCAAAGTGATTTCTCTCTCTCTCTCTCTCTCTCTCTCTCATATCTTCATGACCCCGCTGTGATCCAGGGAAGTTCTACTGTTCGGAGCCAGGAATTCCTTTATAGCCCCAAGCCCACCATCGGTGCTTTTATCTATACCTGTCTGCCAAAACAAATGCATTTTACAACTTTGACACTGAGGTGAAGTGACTTTATTCACTGCATATTCGTGATAGAGTTGGGAATAGAACCCAGGAGTCCTGACTCCTAGTTCTGTACTTTAGTCACAAGCTGGTCCTTCCCCAGCAAACTTTGGTCTAAAGGTTACAGGTGATCTGGTGAATAGCTGGTTTGGATCCATTACGAATTAACATGGAATGAACCAAAGCAACTGAAACTCATAATTGCTAATCATGTATATGGTATATCTGCCACAAACCGTAATCATTGGTACCTCCTATAGCCACAAAAATCTTCACCGTTCCAGTCCAGTCACTGATGGCTCACCTAGCAGCCTTGACTCACCCCCCCCCCCCCCCCATAGTATCATGCTTGTAACTATAGAGCTAAGTACATAACCAAGCAGTAAAATGCAACGGGGCATTCACACCTAGAGTGTCCTTGGGGCAACAAAGAGAGAGCTAATGAGCAATAACTGTGACCGCAGCAGGCACTTCCGAGGGGCTGATGGCTGGCTCAGAGCAGTTAATGGGCTGAGACACAGCGGAGTCTCCTTGCTTCTCTTCTGGGAATTCTTTCCATTCCTTCTCTATTCAGACCTCTGCTCTGAGGAAACAGACTCCGGCCCCCTCTCATCATCTGACTTCTCGCCTTTCCCCGTCCTTGCCCGTTGCTGGCTTGTGCACTTTTTCGTTACGCTCAGGTTTAGTGAAACTCTTCCACAGACTCGCTTGGTCGAGGCTTCCACTGGCAACTGAACTCGGAGTCCAGTGGCAGCATTTCAGTGAGCTGGAGCTAGCCGCAGCCACCCTCACTTGTAATAAGTAGAAGGAGCTGGTGGAGGCTCTGCTTTGAAATGCTCCAGCTTGAGCCGAGGATCTGTAACTACGCTGGAAAAAGAGCCAGGCATCACTGTGGAGGGGCCAATAAAAACCGTTCCTCAGTGTGCAACAGCAGTCAAGAAAGCAAACAAGCAGTTAGGATGTGTAAGGAAAGGGATGGAGAACAATGCTGAGAATACGCTGGGGCTGTTCTATAAATCACGGGTAGGACACGCTCACTGGCCCTCCCTACGGTCAGTGCAGGTCTCTATCCCAAGAAGGACATGGCAGAAATAGAGAGGAGGTTCAGATACAGATGACAGAAATAGAGACCTGGAAAGAGTTCTGTAGGAAGGGGTGAATAAGAGAGGGTAAAACAGGTATACAAAATACCACATGCTGTCGAGAAAGGCAGCAGGAAAACAGAAGTGCTGCTTCTCATAATACAAGAACAAGGGACAGGTAATCAAAATGTAAAGTGACAAATTTAAAACAGGTGCTGTTTTACTGGTATGTACTACCACTAGCTAGCATTAAAGCAAAGGGTTTGCATTAGGGTTGGACAGTTAAATGAGCAGTGAGAACATCCACAATTAGAATAGATAGGATGAAAACCATTGCAGGGCTATAAACTCCTCTTCCTCAGGGCAAGAGCCAGCCACTGGGGTAAGGAAGAAACTTCCCTGATGGGCAGGTTATTGTGTAATTGTCCACTGCAAATTTTCGTCTTCCTCTGCAGCAGCTGGTGTTGGCCACTGTCCCAGACTCAGTGATTCACTTGTCTCATTTGGCATGGCAGTTCCTAGGTGTGGATAGTCTGATGTAGCCTGAGTGTGTTTGCTTTGATTAGCTGCTAAAATCCTTGTGAACGCTGCATGATGCTCCTGGCAGCAGAGAGAGGCTGAGTGACCAGTGTTTACAAACCCTGAGCCAGCAATCTCTGTGCTGAGACAAGCATGGGTATTGACATACCCAAATGAAAACAGCAGACACCTGGATTAGGGAAAGCACCCCCCCCCAAAGGAATTAGAGGATTGTAAATGGCCCAGCAATCTAGTAGCAATGTAATTAAATACCCCCAGCAACCATCTCTTGGCAGGGTTGCCACTTTTTAAAATGCGTTTAGACAGGCTTGTGTGTCATGATGTTCTGACACCCTCCAGCCAGTGTTGTTGCATCATGACTCTTGATAGACTGACATCAGGACCTGTTAATGGCTCTGCAAGCAAGATACAAGATCATCCAATCCACCTTCGTGACTCCAGGCCAGGGGCAACCCGATGAGGGCTGAGTGAAGCAGTGTTCTCTCCTCCCAGTCCCAGCCCCGAAGGGTGGTGATGGGTTGGAGGGGGTTCAGAGAAGAGCCATGCGAATGATTCAAGGATTTCAAGACCTGCTTTCTGGCAATGGAATGAAAGAGCGTGGTCTATTGATCTTAACAGCGAGAAGGTGAAGGGGTGACTTGATCAGTCTATAAGTACCTACGTGGGGAACAAGTATTTTATAATGAGCTCTTCAGTCTAGCAGAGGAAGGTCTAACACGATCCAGTGGCTGGAAGTTGAAGTGAGACAAATTCAGATGGGAAATAAGGTGTCAATTTTTAACAGCGAGAGTAATTCACTATTGGAAGAGGTTACCAAGGGGCATGGTGGATTCTCCATCACTGAGCATTTTAAAATCCAGACGGGCTGTTTTCCTAACAGCTCTGCTCTAGGAATGACTTGGGGGCAGGTCTCCGGCCTGTGTTACACAGGAGATCAGTCAGGATGATCACAATGGTCCCTTCTGGCCTTGGAATCGCTGAGTGAATGTCATAGAGTCGAACACCCACATTACACTGCTAATCCCCATGCAATGTCTGCTGCCTCAGCTGTGCATGATAATAGCAAATGAGTATATTTCACACTAGCTCTTTCTCCCCTGGGCTTTTCCTTTGCTTTCCCCCTCATGTGCGGGATACAAGGCGACAGGGGCTTTGCAGTGTAAACACCTGGTGAATAATAGCCAGTCGCAGTGCTTGTCTACACTACCACTTTTGTCGGTATCACTTGTGTCGCTCAGTGGTGTAAAAAAAATCCTCCGGAGCGACACGTTACACCACCAGACGCGCCGGTGTGGACCGCGCTGTCAGCGGGAGAGCTTCTCCCCATCATAGCTACAGCCGCTTGTGGAGGTGGTCTTATTGTGTCGCCCCATCGCACAGAGCGGCTATGTGAGCACTCCTACAGCTGTGCCGCTGTGAGCTCGCTAGTGTAGACATGCCCCTAGTCTGACTGGGGTCTCATTTCTTTCTGTCTCAAACTTTGGTGTCTGACTGGGGCGTTAATATTAACGCCCATGTGACTAGTTCAGCAGTGAAGCCTGCCCGTTCCGTGCGGTGAGTCGCGTTGTGCCGGTCAGTGCCTGGGCGTCTCGCCTGGTGTGGAGCACTATGCTGTGTGCAGAGACTGCAGTTAACGCCACACGTGCACAGCAACGGAGCCCCATCCCCTTTATCTGTGCAGTGGGTTTGGGCTCCTGCGAATTCCAGTCAGTGCTTTGGTTTTCAGATCACTCCCTGCTCATCTGCTTGATGGGCTTCAGCACCAAGGTTCTTAAGCCCTTGGAATTTGGCCTCCTAGGGTCCAAAAAGACCAAACCTCCCATTTCAAGTGGCTCCAACCCCCTGACTTGGCGCAAAGGAGCTTTTGCCACTGACTTCAGTGGGAAGAGGATCAGGCCCACAGTGATCCCAGCTCTTCCAGGTTCCCTCCAGGGCCCGCTCTTCCGCTCTGCTCCCTATCCCCCGCTTCTTTCCTTTCTCTGACACCACTCCCTCACCCTCTGTGATCTGGAGAATGTCCTGATGCCAAGCCACCAATCCCCAGCATGCACTGAACCCTTGGGAGAACATAATGCCTTCTCCCTCTCTCCACCCTCCTGCAGGCCAGGACTTTGTCTGCCGATGCTAGGAACTCCGAGCGGTGACATGGGCTGCAGATGGTCCTGAAGAGGGGTTAGGTGTATTGTTGGCCTTAGCTCCCTTAGGAGCCTGTCAGTCCATCATCAGGCAGGAATTCGCAGTATGACTCCACCCATCTGCTCTAAGAACCTCTCAGAGCAGTGTCCCCTTCACACCCATCTAACGGGTCTGGCTTGCTCCCACCTCCTTTCCCAAGACCCCTTCTGGTGGGTGTTTGCAGTGACCAGGAGCCCCCCAGGGGCTGAGCTGTCAGTGGGGACAGAGAGTTGGTGGGTAGAAGTTCCCTGCCCCTACCCCGGACCAACATCTGGGACCAACACACCACAACAACACTGTGTACTGCCCCTTCCTGACATGCAGGTTCCCTCCCTCAGTAACGGGCGGGCCGGCATCCTCTCCTGGCGGTCAGCATAGGATGCTGTTGCCCTTGCCTTGGTTCGCTGGCGGTAAGCAAGTCCCATCTTAAAGGGCCGCTTAGAAATCTGAACCAAGACCCCTTCAAAAGGAAACTGCGCTCTGCAGGGTGCTGGTTCATGGACATCAGAGACAGAGACCTATTGGGCCCCACCTCCATCAGGCCCAGGGACAAACACAGATGGTTCCCTGTGGGGGGTTAAAAAATCAGCACCTGGGTAGTGGCCCAGAACCATTTCTACCTGTCTGCTCTCTAGTGCTCTGCAGGAAATGCTGTGGCCTTCGCTCCAGAGATCTCAAAGCCCTTTACAGACATCAATGAATTTATCCTCACAAGTCCTTTGTGAGTCTGGTCACTAGAGTTAGCTCATTGCACAGAGGAGGAAGGGACTTGCCCATAGTTACCCAGCAAGTCCCGTAGCCAGGCTGAGACTAGAAGCCAGGAGTCCTGGCTGCCTGTCCTGTGCTCTAGCCAAGCGAGTTGGGCTTTCAGGTCCTGGTCCTAGTGGCTGAGATCCACCTCACAAAAGCCATTCTCACGAAGTAGCCAAGGACTGGCTGAGCCATGGAGCCCGAACTCCCACCCCCTCCAGAGGGGCTCCCTCTGGGGCAGGTTTAAGGGTAATTGATGGAGGTCTGCAGTGCGGGGGCAGCAGCTTGCTCTGTCTTGGCTGGACCGTTCCTGCAACAACAGGGCCTGTTCCTCTAGGCCTGTCAGTGGTGTGAACTCCCGGGCCCCAGCCGCAGTAACCGCCTGTGTTCTGCTTCCTCTCGTGATAGTGCTGCATCGACGACTTCGGGGACGTGGTCGCGCTGCTGCTGGAGGCCGGCGCGGAGGTCAATGCCTGCGACAGTGAGCTCTGGACGCCGCTGCACGCCGCTGCCACCTGTGGGCACCTGCACCTGGTGGAGCTGCTGATTAAACAGTACGTGGGTTCCTGTGCATGCCATGCAGGGGGGTGTGATCGGGGGTGTGGCCTTCTCCCCCTAGGGGAAAGGGTCTGCAAACAGACCAGCCTGAGGTGGGGAAGGAGCGGGAGAGTTAGGGCTCCTGAAGCCACTTACCAGGTGCCCCATAACAGAGTGATGGACTCCCAGAAGGAGACTGTTCTGGCATTCAGAGAGTCCTGGGACTTGATTGGGGCAGTAACCCTGCAGCCTTGGGCAGGAAAGGTGCCTGGGCGTGAGGGCACCCAGAACTGCTTAGATCCTCCTTGGCACTGGGATTGCGCCCCCCGACCGAGCTTTGAGTCAAGGGAAGTGAACCTGGCACAGGGGAGTCTGACAAAATGAGCCCAGCCTGGCATGATTCCTGCACCCGGAGAGGCTCTGACTGCTTCTGGCCCAGTCTCTCCCCCTTGACCTGAAGGAGAGCTCTGGGCAGCTTGAAAGCATCTCTCTCCCCAGGAGAAGTTGGTCCAATCAAAGATATTATCTCGCCCACCTCGGCCAACACGGCTACAACACTACTGCATACCTGTCCACCCACCGCAGTTCCACTCCCCCGCCCCCGGTCCTGACTCTGGAGCACCCCCTGCTGTCCAGTCCTCATACTTCCTTATGCAGTCGCTGAGCTCCACTGAATGCCCCCTAGAGGTCCTGTACCTAGCCCAGGCCTCTCCCTTTCCTGTGACCCAAGCCAGGTTTGAACCCCCAGAGGTGGCAAGCCGGAGTATTAACCCTTGGGAGCTCGCCTCCCCTTTTTCAGCCTGCTTCTTTCCCCTCCCCTCAAATTGAAGTCACCTTGTCAGACTCCACTGTAGGTGTTTGGAACCCGGCTTGTGGGGCTGTAAATGTTTAATGGGGGTGTATCGTTGACCAAGTAACCCAATCTGCCTCCGTCTGGGCTGCCTGCAGGAATCTCCTGTCAGCGAGGCCTTGGCCCGGCTGCGGCCGGACGAGGCAGTTTGCATCAGTAAATGCTCTGCTGCTCCTCTTGCTGCACAGCATGACCCAGTTATGAAAGGCCTTCCCGCATCACTCCCTGCCCAGGAGGGGCTGGGATTCGAATGCCAACTGCGGACGAGCATGGACCTGCCTGCTGATCCCCCAGCACCTCGAGGCTGCCTGCCCTGGCCTGCAGTCCTCATGGCGTCCTGGTCGCTAGGCAGCACCTCAGCTGAGTCTGGGTTTTAAAGCTGGAAGTAGGGTTAGGAGAACAGTGGGTGCATAAATCTGGGGCCGCCTGGGGAGCACAAAGCGTAGCCAGGAGGAGTGAGCCTGGGTGGGAAAAACGGGGGGAGGTAAATGGGGACGGGCAGGCTCCTGAAAGAACAGGGGTAACATGGGCTTCTTTAGCATCTCATCAGACACCAGACCTGCACCTCCCACTGGCTGGATTTCTGTGCACCCCCCCCCCCGCCCCCAAAGCCTCTTTGAAAACCTTCTCGGGAGCAGATTCATTTCCACAGCCCCCTCCTCATCCTTCTCCCAGGGACATCCGTGTTAGGGTGACCAGATGCCCCGATTTTATAGGGACAGTCCCGATTTTGGGGTCTTTTTCTTATATAGGCTCCTATTACCCCCACCACCTGTCCCGATTTTTCACATTTGCTGTCTGGTCACCCTAATCAGTGTGGAAACAGGGGAATAGAGCTGCTCCTTCCCCAGGGGAGTCCAGCAGTCCCGTCACATGGGGTGGTGCCGGAGAGGAGGGCAGGGCCCTGAAGAAGCAGCAGCCGGGCCTGTGAGGAGCGGGGATCCTGTTTCATGTAGCCGTCCCTTGCTGATAGAGGAGGCGGGACAAGAAACCCAATCTACAAGACAGGCAGAATCGTGCCCATGGAGAATGTTTTCCAGAAGCCGTTGGTGGCTCTTTAATGAAAATAGCTCATTGTATCTGTTACACTAGCTGCCCAGCGGCACACGGGTGCTGTGCGTGGCATTACTGTGGGCACAGCAGAGAGGTAGCCACCTGCCTTGTTTCCTCACTGTTTATTTCTTCTCCTTCCCCTGCCCAGTGGTGCCAATCTCCTGGCAGTTAACACAGACGGGAACATGCCGTATGACCTCTGCGAGGACGATGTGACACTGGACTACATTGAGACGGCCATGGCAGATCAGGGTGAGTCTCCCCAGTCCCAGGCTGGTGTCTCCTCCCCTTTCCCTGTTGTCACCGTGGATGTTTCATGGTTATTCACTCACCGCTGGGTGCGTACCCCTCTCGGCTCTCCTATTCTGCTCAGGCATTGCAAGCCCCCTCCATGGTGCAGCAAGCACCTTGGCAGCAGTGTCCAACCCAGAATGCCCCATTTACCTTCCAGTGAGATCTGCGTTGGGTTCTCTCCTTGTGCAGCTTCTGTTTCTAGCGCTCTCCCGACAGAGACACATCCTAGAATGAAGGAGCATCACTTCTTAAGATCCAGATTTTGACTCCTCCCCTGTTTGATGGCTCCAGGCTGCGCTGGGAAAGGGCTGTAGGGAACCCTCTTAGCAGCCTCCTTCCTCCTAACCACTGAGATTTGCTGGTGGGCGATGAGCCTCTTGCAGAGAGACCATTGAGTTCTTGCTCCTGTTGTTATTTATACAGTGCCATGGGTGCGCATGGCACTCGACAGACAGACAGACGTGATCTTCCCCACGAAGAGGTCTAGGTTCAATAAACCCCGCCAAGACGCAGGGAGAAATGCTAGCTGGCAAGGGAGTGGGCGCGAGGGGAAGCTTGCATACTTTGAGGCGAGGAGAGTTATCTGCACCAAACACATCCATTTGTTTATATACAAAATCCATCAAGCTGATGCGGGAGTGAGGGGCAAGGGCGGAGCTGGTGGAAGAAATGGATTCGGAGGAGGGGTTTGAAGGAGCAGAAGTCAGGTTGTCTGGCATACAGGGACAGGAAGGGCGTCCCACAGAGCAAGGGTAGCATAGGCAATGGCTAAGGGTGAAAGAAAGTCAAACTGGGCAAGCAGGCTAGGGGAGGGAGATGAGGGAGCAGGGGAATGTTGGCCCGAGCCCTGAAGGGAGGAGGGAGGAGCTGGCCCCTGATGTGGAAGGTGGATGTTGAAGGGCCTGGGGGAGATTGATGGTGGGAGGTCCAGGAACGGTTGTCGGAGAGACAGGTACAGCTGGGAGACTCAGCAGAGGGGAGAGACCCAGGGGAAAGGGTGGATTTTGTCAGCAGCGAGATGGAAGCAAAGCCCTGGAAGTGGAGTAGGTCACTCGGGTAAGGTGCAGAGGAGAAGAGGGCGCCAAGGACAGATGGCTGCTCCTGGGCAAGGGATGTGTGTGCGTCTTCCTGCCTAGACTAGTGCCAATTGTAAGAAACTGACATGGTCCTTGGCATGGAGTCCAATAAGCAAACGCCTTCCAGCCTTGCTGCTGGGGTACAGGCCAGCCCCCAGTCACCATCTGCCATGGCTGCCCTCATGGCACTTACTCTCTGGGTAGGAATAACTCAGGAGAAGATTGAGGAGGCCCGAGCCGCCACGGAGCACAGCATGGTGGAAGATATCCGAAAGCTGCTTCAGGACAGGTGCCGATCTGAACACTCCACTTGACCATAGTGCCACTCTGGTAAGTTCCCAGTTAATAATGCCGACAGCTAGGGAGAGCTCTGCCTGAGAAGTGAGGCGCAGGAGACCAGGGCTGCAGGGGAACTGGGGGCTGGTGGGGGGCTGGTCTTAGGGAGGCAGCACAAGCCCCATCTCTTGGGGGATGAAGCAGTGGTGAACATACTCAATCCGGCCATGGCTGGGGAGAGACGAGAACTGACTCATTGTTCTCGAGCTCCTCTCCATGTGGGACACCGCGTAGGCCACCCAGAGCAGGGCCGGGACCACTAGCGTTTCCTTCCAAGGACTCTGCCTGTTCACACAAGTAGCCATGGAAGCCCTGCCAGCGGTCAGGGCCATCACCTGTGCCTCTAAGCAAGCCAAACTGAAAGCTAGCAAGGCCCAATCTCCACATCCCCCAGCAGCTGCTGCTGTCCCGGGGCCTAGGACAGCAGACACAGATAGCGCTCGTGGCTCTGGTGGAGAACCATCTCCTGTCCGCAGACAATGCTGCGTTGCCATTGCTGAGCACTGGGTTCTCCTTCCATCCCACCTAACGGCAGTGCAGTGAGCGAACATGCGCTGAAATTGCTCGGTCCGAGCCCACCGAGAGCCATCTGGGGCCACTACCTGCAGAGTCCCAGTCCATGTGCTCATATATCGGAGTGCTCAGACTCGGGCCTCGGCCGTGGGGTCCCTCGGGATCCCTCAGAGCTGTTGGAAGTCAAGATAGCCATGGCAGCAAGAACCTCCCACTTCCACCTGGGTCTGGCCAGAACATCTTCCCTTCTCCCGTCAGGCTCCGGCCTGGTCACAGTGATTCCCATGTCTGCGACCAGAAGCAGCTGCCTGCCCCGAGAAAGCTCCAGCTAGTACAAAATGCAGCAGTCCCTCTCCTCAGCAGCCCTGGGTGCTGTGACCACATTCCCTGCGCTGGCTACGCAGTGAACGCGCAGTCCAGCTCTGTCTGCCCGGATACTCCACGCTCGGCATGGGCTGCCTCTGTAGGACCCAGTTCACAGCGGAACCCCCTCCTTGCACAGCACCTTGGCTCCTGCTGCAGAACTGCTTGGGTGTGGCCTGGGAATAATGGCCAGCCGCTCGCTAGCTGTGTCTCCTCTACCTTGTCATTTGATGTCGCCATTCCTTGGCCTGGTGATCCCAGCCGTACCCTTCTGTCTCTGGAGACCGCTGAGCAAATGGGACAGGCCCTAATGGAACTGACTGGTCTCCATCTGAGCCCAAGTTCACACTAGAAACTTTGAGAGTAGACTAACACCCATGGGGGGGCGAGGGGGGTTATTTTACTTTCTGTAACACTGCTCTACTGGCATACACCCTAGTGTCCCTGCAGCGATCCTGGCCAAGGCACTCGGATCGTTTATTTCACTCGGGATTGGTATGAGCTGTCCCAGCAAACGGCCTCTTTGCAGGTGTCCATGGCATCTGCTCTGAGCAGGTTTGCTGGGTTAGCCCTCCCAGCCAAGCTTTGCGGGAGAGCGCAGCCCTGGCGTTAGGGCCCGGCCCAGGGTTCTAGCGCCGGCGACTTCTGCTTTGCAGCTCCACATTGCCTCAGCAAACGGCTACCTGGAAGCTGCCGAGCTGCTGCTGGAACACAAGGCCAGCATGAGCGCGAAGGACAACGATGGGTGGGAGCCTCTCCATGCCGCCGCCTGCTGGGGGCAGGTGAGTGCTTGTAGGCAGGTGAGAATGCACATCTAGCCCACGGGCTGAGGGTGCTCCTGTTGGGAATTTCCGGCCCTGGAACATTTTCCCAGTGGTGGAGTACAGCGCCTCCTAGTGGCACGACACCCTCAGCACTGGTCATGGGCTGCGTTCACTTGCTGTCTGGCCTGCCAGAGTGCTTTCCGTAGTAATGTGGGGGGCCAGGCTACTGAGAGCGGGGTGCTGGACACAGGGCCACCCCAACTCCTCCCGAAGGGCCCTGGGGCCTCAGTGGGCTGGAGGGAGCTCAGGTGAAAGCCTGCTCTACAGTATGGGTGGCCGCCTCCAGCCGCAGCACTGCAGTGTCAGCAGTCAGGAATCGGAACGTGCTGTGGATGGGGGAGAGGGTGAGCAGGGGCTGCTAGGAATCTCCCCCCTGCCAGGCACAGGGCATGCGGGGACCACTTGTGAACTCCCCCCCAGGTCGTTATGGCAATGGAAGCCGACAGGCCCAGGACGCAGGAGGGTGCTAATCTGCAGAGGCTGCAGCGCCTCCGCTTCTGGCATGCGCGGTTCCCAGCTGGGGGGCGATGGGGTCAGAGGGGCATTTTCCCCTCAGCTTGGGTGTGGAGCAGGTTTGTGCGTTAGATTCTTCCTGCTTCGCTAAAGGCAACTTCCCTTGTTGCCGTCAGATCCATCTGGTGGAGCTGCTGGTGGCCCATGGAGCTGATCTCAACGGGAAGTCTGTGCTGGACGAGACGCCCTTGGGTGAGTCAAGCCATTAGGAGAGCAGGGAATGGAGGAGGCTGGAAGGGGCCAAGATGAAAAGGGGTGCAAGGCAAGGGGGAGGCAGAGGCTGGTGGAGATGGATGGAGAGGGGAGGTGATGGGGGAAGTCCGGACTTTCAGTCTCTGCAAATCCTCCGAGGTGCCTTGTCGTGTTTCGTGTGGCAGGCTCCTCCCCAACCCAGCAGTGCGTTCTGAGGACCCTGCAGTCACCCTGACTGCCAGTCCCACCTCGTCCTTAAACCCCTCAAAGGCCCTAGTTCCCCTCCTCTCCCCACCTCGTATGATTTTTGACAGCAAAGCCGCGCTTTCCATTCGGGGATCAGCACAGGCCCTTCCCAGCCACCACCTCCACGCCTGCTTCTCCAGACCCGCGGGGCAGAGTGAAAATGCCCATCTTTTCCCAGTCCTGCTGGGACCTCCATCCTCCGGGGACTCAGCAGCACAGAGCCCACCTGCCCTCTCGCCTGACCTCCAGTGCCAGGGAGCCGGAGTCCCAAGCATGGGATTACGGTCCACAAACAATGCAAATGACCCGTTACGTGCAGCCAGTGTATGAGCGATCATCCGACACTTCCTAGCCTGGTAGCCTGAACAGGCGAATCCAAGCACAGGGTGTAGGAGGCAGGCGGTGGGGAAAGGGGGATACAACAGGGAGTTTGAGGCTGACTGGGCGTGGGGGACGCTGGAAGGATGGGGCTTAGTTCTGATTTGGTTCCCTTTGTTGGCATGGTTATGCTCTTGGGCTGGGGAGAAGAGGTGGGGTGTGAAGAGGATTGGGGGCAGGTGAGAGACCAGACGAGGCTGGGCGCGGGGAGTGGAGGTAACGGGGGAGCTGGAGAGGTGGGAATGCCTGAGAAGGGGGTGGCGCCAGAGGAGATCCCAGTGGGCAGGGAGTGGATGATCCTTGCTGTGGCGGGATTGCAGAGCTGGTGGGAAGGAGGGCCGCAGAGTGCATGCCTGGGGCTGGCTCTGCTCTGGAGCCAGGTGGCTGTTCACCCCCGTGTGTCCCTCGCAGATGTGTGTGGTGACGAGGAGGTCCGGGCCAAGCTGCTGGAGCTGAAGCACAAGCATGATGCCATCATGAAGTCTCATGACAAGCACAAGTCGCTGCTGCAGCGACGCACCTCCAGTGCTGGCAGCCGAGGGTAAGGCCGGGGGGGACCGCTACGGATAGCTGGCCTCCTTCGCAGGGGCCAGAGGCCACCCCAGAGCAGGACCCTCCTTCCCAGGGGCAGGCAGATCTGGGGAACTCAGCTGAGGAGTCCCGTTGTCCGAGCTCCAGACCCTTCGCACCTTAGCCTCAGCTAGGCTCTGATGTCTCCCCCCACCCACCCGGCTTTGTGCCCAAACTGAACACAGGGTGGCGCCCTACTGCCATTGGGGCTGCTGTTCATGGGTCACCTAGGCGCCACCCTCCCCCGCCAGCTGAGCGGGCTCCAGCAAAACCACACCTTCTGAATCTCTGCCCATCACCTTCTCCGTAACCACGGAAAGAGACGTGATCAGGCCAGTGGCAGGACGTGTCTGGGCGCCGTCCGTCCTGCTTTTCAGCACCAGCTGGAAATGAATGTCCCGCAGGTGTTTGCCCCCAACCAAACAGCAGCTGTGGCGAGGTCAGTCCCTGGCATTTACCTGCGCCGGCACTGGCTCGCTCCTGGCGGGAAGCACTCCCGTTTCCCAGCCATGCTGATCCTGCTTTCCGCTGTCCCCAGGAAGGTGGTGCGGCGGGTCAGCGTGACGGAGCGCACCAACCTCTACCGCAAGGAGCACGAGAAAGAGGCCATCGTCTGGCAGCAGGTGGCGCACCGGGAGAACGAGGCCGAGCTTGAGGACGAGGACAAGCAAACGGACGCTGAGCTCCAGCAGCACCTCCCCGTGAGTAGGGGACAGCCGTGGCACCCCCACATTCCCTGCAGCCCCTCGGCACGCCGCGGTGCGAGGTCCCGCCTGGCGCTGAGCGTGTCTGTCTCCTGCCCCTCTTCTCAGCGCCAGGGAGAGGAGAGGTGGGTTCCCCCCTCGCTGCCACCCCCACCCCTGAACGGGACGCTCAGGGCTCCTGCCTCCACCTGGCAGCAGCCGGCTCCGAGAGCCCCGCACAAGGCTCTTGGGTGCGCCATGTGGTTGGAACCAAGTATTGCTGGCCTAAACCACCAGGGCACGTCCCTGGTCCTGCTCCCCTGGCAGCCATTAGCGCTTCCTTCTCAGCTCCCCGTGAGTCCCCAGCAGCGCCAATGTGCTAATGGGAACCCCCCCTGGATTCCTGCATGGCTCCAGGTGTCCAGCCCCAGGGCTGAGTACTGGGTACTGAGTACTGTTCTTCTCCCCAGCAGGACGCTGAGGCAGAAGTGGCAGGTCCAGGGGCCTTGGTGGGAGACAAGCATCAGAATCCGGGGCTGACCCAGAGAAATGGAACTGCGGGCTCTTCTGCCGCCGGCCCCCCCAAACACCTCTACTCCAAGCGGCTGGACCGCAGCGTCTCCTACCAGCTGGCCACCCAAGAGGAGCTGTCGGCCGACCTGTGCAAGGAGAAGTCCCACCACACGCTAGCGGACCTCAAACGCCAGCGGGCAGCTGCCAAGCTCCAGCGACACCACCCAGAGGACTACCCTCCCACCGAGGGCGAGGGCCCCCTCTCGCCTGGCCTCGCTGAGACCCTGCGCGGCAGTGATCACCCCCGCTCGGACTCGGAGCAGAACTCCGTGTACTACACGGCAGCCAGTGGCGATCCGCCTCTTCTGAAGCTGACGGCCCCGGCCGAGGAGACCCCTGCTGAGAAGAAGCGATGCTGTAGGCTGATGTGAGGCGCTGGCAAGAGAAGATGTTTGTGGGGCACGTCCCCTCCCTGGCATTGATGGATGGCGCTAATGTCCCATGGGGCTGCCTCTGGAACGCTGCAGCAGGACGGGTTCTGGGAGCTGGTTTATCTTCCAGGGACGACTCCGTGTTCCAGACCCAGACACCAATCAAAGAGGCCGGGCTCCAAGTGCTCCATCGAGGGCTGCATGGGCAGCAGGCTTGGAGCCAGAGGGCTGCACAAATGGAAGCAGAATGCAATGACCTTCATTGTCAGTACAGAGATGTGTCCTGGAGCATCTACGGCTCCCAGCATGCAATTTGCCAGTCCCTGCTTGGGTCAACCCATAGAGCGTTGCATGCTGGGACGTGTAGTCGCAGAGGGCTGCATCTCCGTTGGACATGGTGGCGTTGAATGTTGCGCAAGACATGCTGGGCTGCGCTGGGTCAGCTGGAGGGTCCCTCCCAGGGCGGCTGTTTGTCTGGGGTCTGTGTGTGGTTTCTAGGAAGGAGTGAAAAGCCTATGGGAGGCCTCAGAGCACGGCGTACCATGCATACAGCACTGGGGGGCAAGGGGACGTCCCCATGCTTGCCTGACACTAAGGCAAATGGCGGCAATGAGGTGAGAACGGTTCTCTTGACACAGAGTTGTAGCCCAGCAGTCCCCTGCTAGGCTGGGCTGCACACAAGCTGTCCTGGTTTAACTAACGTGCGTTTCAAACACGATGGAAAGCCGAGTAGGTCCCCAGGCACGCCCGTTCATGGTGGTTTACAACTGGCTTATATCCCACTCGCTGGCTTGGATTCACTAAAGGAAGCGCTGGACTGAGCCCGGCCGTGCGCTGGAGCAAGGCCATTGGCTGTCATTCCTATCTTTTCTTCCAGCAGGGTTAACCGAACCCTGAATTCAGTGCGGCCCCACACAGCCTTGCACTGAACCAGCCAAAGGTGCTGACGGACGCTGAGTTCACACTTCGGTGCCAGTCTGAGTGTGGGTCCGCTCCAAACCGCATGGATAGAAGCTCGTTGTAAACCAGGATGTGTCCACGTGGCACTGTGGGTTCAACTACAGTAATCTGAACTCCTGTGCCCCATATGGTGCGCCACGCCACGGTGCCCTGTGCCCTCTGCCCCCAGAGGGCACCTGGTGTGGGCTGTGTGCCCAGCCCCTTGTGACCTCCTGCCCTCAGCAATAAAATCACTTCAGCAAAGCACCTCACCCCAGGACCCAGCACAGCCCATTGATGGGTCTATGCACCTGTTGTGCGGACAGCTCTCCCCATGAAACAGCCTGCGAGCGGGACGGGGGAGCTGGTTTCTGGCCCCTCAGTCCATCTGCCGGGGGCAGCGGTGGGGGGCTGATTAATCTGTAATGGTCTCTAGCCGCCCCGTGCCTGGGCCCTGGACAGCATCCCGCTGCTCCCCATTGCTCACGCGGGGCTCAAACAGGGCGTGCTGATGGCACCCTTCTCATCTCCTGTTCTCTGCAGAGACACCGGCCCGCTGCATGTCCCCTCCCTGCGCAGGTGGGACACGGTTTTTTTTTGTCCTGCTGCAGCATGAGGCTCCAAGGAGCCTTGTGTTGAGCCCCGCACCTCCACCCAAGGGCAGCATTGGCAGCTTCTCAGGCGGCCGAGGGCTACCCCAGCTTCACGCCCATAGAGGGGTGCCCTCAGGGGCCCGGTCCCAGTGTGCCAACTCCCATGTGAGCTCAGCAAAAGCCCCTTTGGCCTACTGCGGAGGATGGCATGCTGGAACTTGGAGGCCTGTCCCTCTCTATTAATGACTGGGGGGGGGGCTGTGGCAGACTTCTGCTGCCCCTAGGGCCTCAGGCTCCATCCTCTCAGCCTGCCGTGGGGTTGCTGAGGCGCCGGGCTCTACAATCAGAACTTCAGGAGGCAGGTGGAGTGGAAGTGGAAGAGCTTCAGCTAGAAACATTCTCGCCTTTCAGCCGCAATAAGGAACATGCTGCTCCCTGGGATCCAGCCGGCTGGACGGGGCATCCCTCTGGTGGGTGGCTCGTGGTTTGCAATAGCTCATCCCCTGGATGGGATTGTCACCCTCTCGCTTATTTCTCTCTGCCCCGGTGCATCTAGCCGTGGCTGTTCAACCCCACGTGCTAGGCCTCTCGTCCCTCTGTTCTTCCCCCCCTCAGGGCCCGAGAAGCATCAGCCAGCCCCATCTCACCAGCCGAAGATCAGCCCTTGCTCGGGTGCCGGAGCAGCAGAGCCCAGCTAGATGCAATCCTGCCCACTGGCTGGGGGAAAGCAGGTGACATTCAACCCCACCTGTGAATGCTCTGGGGAACCCCCTTAAGCTCTGACCCTCCAGCTTCAAGAGTGCAGCTCTAGGCTGAACTTGTATTAACCACGGGGCCAGCGGTGGTTCTGCTCTGAGAGCCTCCTGCCTGCCCTGGGAGATACAACTGCAGGGAGCTCTGTGCTCGCCAGCGAGGGTGGCTGACGTAAAATCCCCTGCTGGGACTGGTCTCTTCGTGGTGCGTTTGTACAGCGGCGCCGCACACGTTTTGTACGGAGCACTCTCACAGTCTAGTTCACGGAGTGCTGTAGCGTTGGTTCCAGCCCCATCGAGCCGCAGGCTGCCGGCCCGTGGCTTCGGAGGCACTGATTTTATACTTTGACACAATCTTTCTTGCTCTCACCAGGTTTGGATTTGTAGCTCCTGTTGTCTCTATTTCCTTTCCACAATAAACCAGCATTGGACAGTGAACAGCCCCTGTGCGTGACCCCTTGGGCCCGAGCGTTCCTCTCGCCCTGCCAGGGCTAACTGCCTCCACCCCCGAAAGAAATGAGTTCGGGAGAGCTGGGCTGCCCCCCCCCGGACACGAGCAACGCAAGGAACAAGTGCTGTGTGTTCTGCCCCCCCCCCCCCCGGTCAGTGTAGGTCTCTGCATGGGGGGTGGGCCACCAGGACCCCCACACCTGAGCAATGGGGCTGAAAAGTGGGGCTCCCCCTAGCGGTGCTGTCATTGGCCCCCGTTAACCCGTGGCACCCTGGAGTACTGGGATTTCTAACACTCAGCCTTCTGGAATAGCCTGAAAACGCCCCCTGTCGGCCTGGGAGGCACGAGGCCCACGTTCCAGATGTTCCCATTCACTGCGTCTGGCTGGGGCTGGGGCAGGAGTGTTCTGCTAACAAGATGGTCTCATGGGAATTAGGAGGGAAGAAGGGTCTAGTGGTTACAGCAGGGCATGGAGCCACGACCTCTGGGTTCTCCTTGGTGTGTTCTCTGCAGATTCCCGCTCATGGGAGGCTCCGCCCGGTGCCGCCTGAGTGGTAGAACATGAGCTAGCGGAGTCTGGCTGAACACTCCCGCGCCTCCCTTGCCCTTTCTTCCGTCACACGTGCCAGGGTGAGGGTGTAAAACGGGTGGGCTGCGGGCCCCACGCCGCTCTCAGAAGCAGCCGGCACCACGTCCCTGCGGTCCCCGGGCAGGGGGGCAGAGGGCTCTGTGCATTGCCCTTGCCTCCAGGCACTGCCCCCCGCAGCTCCCATTGGCCGGGAACGGGGAACCGCGGCCAATGGGAGGTTCCTGCAGGCGCAGCAAGGGAGCGCACATGGAGCCCTCCGCCCCCTCCCCCGGGCAGGGCTGACTCCAGCTTTTTTGCCGCCCCAAGCGGCAAAGCGGGGGAAAAAAAAAGATCAAGCCGATCGGCAGCACTTCGGCGGCAGCTCAATCGCGCCACTTCATTCTTCGATGGCAATTCGGCGGCGGGTCCTTCGCTCCCTCTGTTCCTCGTTGGCAGCACTTCCGCGGCAGGAGGAAGAGGAAGAGAGCGACTGAGGGACCCACTGCTGAAGAGCCGGATGTGCCGCCCCTTCCCATTGGCCGCCCCAAGCACCTGCTTCCTTTGCTGGTGCCTGGAGCTGGCCCTGTCCCCAGGGCCCGCAGCGCTTCTTGGAGTGTAGTGGGGACAGGGCAGGCAGGCAGGGAGCCTGCCCTGGCCCCGGTGCGCGCCGCTGCCACCCTGGAGCCCGAACCCCTCCTGCCCCCCGCCCCCCAATTCCCTGCCCTAAGCCCCCTACCTGCACCCCTCCTGCACCCCAACCCCCTGCCCTGAGCTCCCTGCTGCACCCTGCACCCCTGTGCACCCCAACACCCTGCCCTGAGCTCCCTCTTGCACCCCACACCCCTCCTGTACCCCAACTCCCTGCCCTGAGCTCCCTGCTGCACCCCAACCCCCTGTCCTGAGCCCCCTGCCGCACCCCTCCTCTGCCCCAATCCCTTGCCCTGAGCCCTTTCCTGCACACCGCACCCCGCACGCCAACCCCCTGCCCCGGCCCTGCATACTATTTCCCCACCCAGATGTGGCCCTCGGCCCAAAAAGTTTGCCCGCCCCTGGTGTAAAAGGCGGGTCGCACGCCAGCTGCCTCCGTTCCCTCGAACCGCGCCAGGGAGCAGTTTTGGGTGGAGCTCGGGGATTGTTCGGCTCCGTGATTAGGTGGCAGAGCAACGGGCTTGGCTATGAAGTCAAAGGCAGCGGAGTGATGGACAATCCGATGGCGTCCTGCTCTCAGAACAAGCAAAGGGGGGGACTCGTTCCCTCCGGTTACACATGGAGCTGGTGTATCAGTCACAAGGTTCGTCCGTCGCAATCCAGCTAGCAGGGAGAAAACTCTCTGAGTTGGTCAGCAGGGCAGATGCACAAGTGGTCATTGAAGGACGAAACAGTAAAACACCTCTTCAGTTTAGGGGGCAGTCTGACAACACACCCCGCGTGGCCAGCAGCACCAGAAGTGTCCGAATATTTGCTCGAGAGCAGGCAGTGCAAGGGGATCGCTATCCGATGTCTTTTGAATGCACTGAGGTCAGGGCTTCCCCTCCTTCAGAAAGTGATAAACAAGAGAAGCCAGGCCAGGGTCACTTTAATAGCACCAGCATGGCCCACGCGATGGTATCTGGACTTAACTCACCTGTCCAGAGGGCTAATGGAGCCTCTGCCGCTGGGCCTGGACTTGTAGCAACGACAGGGGCTGGTTCCTTACTCAGATCTACACTCAGTTTAATTACACTGGGAACGTTAGAAAAAAGTGGTTCATTCGAGGTGCAAAATGTGCTGTTGCATTCTAGGAAAGTGTCTGCATGGAAGTGTCATAGTCACAAATGGAAAGGATTTTTAAGGTGGGTTCCCATGTATGGTACAGAGCCATATGCAACACCACTTCGTTCCATTTTACAATATTTATTGTACCGAAAAGAAACCGATCTTTCGCTATCTTCAGGAAGGGGTCATCTCAGCCGTATCAGCACAGCTGTGTGTGTGTGTGTGTGTGTGTGTCTGTGTGTGAATTAATTTTATTAATGATGTAGCTTAGTTAAAAGGTTCTTAAAGAGCCTAAATAACGTATACCCTCCACTAGAACCCACTTTGCCAGCTTGGGATTTCAACATAGGGCTCTCACAATCGATGGACACCCCTCAATCCCAATTTGGGTCTGTAGGAAGCTGTCATTTATTTCATTTGTCTATTAAGACAGTGTTTTGAGAGCCCTCACCTCCGCCGGGTGTACATACATTAATGGCTGATCCGCAGTTTACTGTTTTTCGTAAAAACAAGGTAATTCTCTGTACGCACTCACAAAGTTTTTAACGAAAGTGATCGATTTTCCTATAAACCAGTTCACCTTTTTACTGGTTTCCCCCCCAAGCCCCGTTCTCAGGCTGGAGAGACTGTTACATGCTCGGGATGTTAGAGGCATTTTAGCCTTTCATTTAGACAGGACTGAACAATTCAGACCGTCCCAAAACTTGTTTATGGCTTATAAAAGAGAGAACAAGGGAAGAGCGGTTTCTGTACAAACGCCGTCCCAGTGGGTCAGACTATGTTTTAAAGTCGGTTATGGATTGAAAGGGTCGGCCCTTCCTTGGCGAGTTAGACCAGATCCAGGACAACCCCTGGGGCTTTTTCTAAACACTGCGCACTCCATCGGTAACCTAGATCTGAGGGGAGATTGGGCAGGGCAGTCCTGCAGGCCTTATTTCATTAGGACCCCATGGGCCCATCAGCCTGGACCCGAGTGCTGCTTGTTAATCTAGCCCGTCAGCGGGAAAGGGCAGAGGACACTCGAAGGAGAAATGAAGGTTACTTACCTGTCACCGGAGTTCTTGGAGACGGCCTGTCCGCTCACCTTTTCCCTCTACCACAGAGTCCTACTCACCAAAGGGGTTGGGGGTCACAGGGGAGGGAACTGAGGTGGCTGCAGCTCCATGCCCATTTTATGCCCTTGCCCTGGGACCTTTGAGGGGCGTGGGAGGCGGGTGAGCGCTCCAAGAGCAACTGCTCCCTGGAGACCTGCCCACTCAGGCAGCACCTGTCGGCGCATCCCGTGAGTGTGGACGTGCAGCGGCCGTCTCAGATCTTTGGTTACAGGTAAGTAACCGTCATTGCTCTACCACAACCTCACTCTTTGCCCATGGCCCTGTCACTTCCCCTCTCTGTGCCTCAGTTTCCACCGGAATGTGGGAGTCGGCGGGAATGAACGTTTGAGGCTGAAGTGTCGCCAGTGAAGTATGGAATGAGACGCTCTAGCCCAAGATGCGCTGAGCCCCTGAGGAACCAACCATCCTTCCCTGAGCCCCGTCTCGCTGCTGCCCCATTTCTACCAGAGAGGCAGGGGCCATGGGAGGGCAGCGCTGCTGGCTCCCAGCCCCTTCTGAGCTCTCCACGCCATGGGGAACTGGCAGCCGGCTCCCCTTCTGAGCCATTTCTGCAGTGTCCTGCTCCATTGTTCGTCCCTATGGCTCTCCACTCCCCGTGGGTCGGCCTGACGGCGGGAGGGGTCCTCAGGGGCTGCGCAGGCAGTGATCGACTATCACCCCACTCCCACCTGCTAGCACTGGGAGTGGGGCTGCCCCATTGCTGGCCTGGGGCCATGGCTCTAGGACCCTAGAGCAGCTGCTGGGGTGGGGGGTGATCACAGGAGAGTCTGAATTCATTGGAGCGTCTCTCTTCCCCTTTGTCCATCTTGTTCCCTAGCCCCCATCCTCGCATGTGAACCCGGCCCAGGGCTGGAAATGGGGAAAGGCAGCCAGGTGCGGGAGGGGGCTCTGCCTGGGGATTGGGGTGCGGGTGGGGGTGCGGGGTCTGGGAGGGAGTTAGGGTGCGGGAGGGGGTTCTGGACGTGGGGGTTGGG